GCTAAAATGAAGCCTAAAATGATAAAAGCATTGAAACCCCATATGGAGTTCAGGAATTCTGCAAGCCCAGTAATGTCCAAGTGCATTTATGAAAAAAGAAAACTAAGAGACTCGAGTATATACACAATAGAGTGATTCTTCAGCCCAATACAAATGGCAGCCAATCGCTACTGAAGGATGAAACATTAAGCCAATTTTGTTTTGAAGGATGTAGAGCTATAGCCAATTCTAGGTTTCCAATATTCTCAATCCCTCCTCACTTGTCTACTTCCACTGTTGCCCATAAGTATCCTGATAAAATTCCTGGTTGTCATTATTGTAACCATAGTTACCGGCATAGTCACCACCTTGCTGGAGCGGCTGTTGAGCGATGGGTTGGGAGCCCCAGTTCTGCTGGTTGTTGGTCTGACGGCGCTTGGAATCAGGTTGGTTGTACCCATCTGCCTTTCTCTTGCCTCCTACGTTGCCCCCACGGTTCCCCCTGGCTCCACGAGCACCGCGTCCTCTCTGCTGTTGTGCAGGACCCCCTCTCCCACCCCTGGCTCCTCTTGGTGGTCCCATGGGTGCCCCCCTCTGTGAATAGCCAGCTCTACCTCTTGGCGGTGGTGCTCCCCGCCCCCTAGGTGGTGGAGGGGCACCTCTCCCACCCCTTCCTCCTCCTCCTCTTCCTCTTATAGCATAGCCATCATCATAGCCGTAATAGGGATCTTCATAGCCACCACGGTAGTCATGATAGTCATAACCATAATAATCATCATAATAATCTTCATAGCCATAGTAATCTGGGGGATAGCCATATCCACCTCTCCCTCCACGGCCTCTGCCTCTAATAGGAGGTGGCATGCGAGGTGGAGGGTAGTAATAATAGTCTTCATACCTATTAAGAAAAAGAAACATGCAATTAATCTTCAAAAGTCTCCCAAAATAGAGTATAAATTTCCTCTTGCTGATTAACAATACACAACATGGAGAAAAGTAATTCACGTTCTTCTAAACTAGCTCATCATTTCACAGCAGAACTTCACTCTGCAGTATTACAGTAGTGCAAGAATAAACACTCACGCAGTACTTCTGGAGGCCTGTCTGGCGGCCTGACGCTCTTTCCTTTTCTTATCCGGTGGCTTTGCTAACACTATTTCAATTTCTTCCCCTTCTATCTCTTTCCCATTCATTTCATTCATAGCCTGTACAAAAGTTAGAAGAAAAACATCTAAAAATTTGTTTCCATTCAAAAGGAAACTAAAACTTACTGAAAGAAATCAGATGGTTGGGCTGCTCCAGGCTGAACTAGGCTGCTTTGTTTCTGTGCTACTTAAACAGAACGTAACATTATTCTTTCAAGGGCCACTTTATTCACCAGTTACAGTGAAGCAGCATTAAAACACAAATATTCTCAGAACGTAAAAGAATGGGATTAAAGTATACTGAGCATTATTTTTTATCAGATGTAACACCATCACTTTTTATGGCCCCTAGAAATGTTTCAGAAATACACTGGCAGAAGTTCTCACTACTCACACTGACACAAACAATCACTGTACTTGTAAGCCAGGCAGAGCGCACACACATGAGAGAGAAAGAGTATTTTTATATTTGGGCTTCCTAGCTAGTTGAATGTGCTACATAAGTGCCTCTGAGGAAATCAAGTATCTGTCCTCAGAAATACTTAAGGCAAAAAAAAAATTACTGAGATTTGGTGATCGCATCAAGTGACGTTAAGAATCCTCCAGAAGGTAATGTGCAATTTGTAATTATCAAATGCACACAGAGAAGTTAATATACATACACAAAGTACAATTAGGACCACACCCCCCAATTCTTTACCTGGAGTTATCCACTTTGCATTTAATGTTTCTAGGTATTAGTATTTGCATTAAAAAAGATACTACACGTCTGTACAGCTACATGCCTCAAAAACATTAGATATTACAGCAATTTATTTCAAAGAAAGTGTGAAAATAAGTACACACTAGAATCAACGCGCCAATTCCATGCATTTCACACATTAATATCATAATAATGCTTTCATTAAAAAAAAAAAACCACCACACACACACCACACCCAGGCACAAAAATATCTCGCAGCATCCATAAACCAACTTGGTGGCCATAAATCAGTCATATGGGGCAGATGTGGTTGTATTCCAGCTTGTTTCAGAGAAGATGAGCATTAGAGATGCTCTGCTGTACTGCATTTGATCTATCTTTCCTCATCTGCTACAAGTTTTCAGTTGTTCAAATCTAAGAGCATTTAGAAGGAAGGTCTACCGGGACAGAGTGGGGAGTATATAAAGACATACTATAATAAAACATGTCAGGAGGTGTTGCTGATTTACCCTTTCTGTCAACAATCTCTTACCCTCTCTTGGACATGGTCTAACCCTGTCCAAACTGAATTAAACTTCATTAAATATGAGTGACATTCATCCTAAAGCCAAACTATTCTGGTGGGTAGGAAAACTGTAAGTGATTAAACGGTTATAAAATTATTAATAGAGTAAAGAGCCTTTGAACTGTCTATAGAGTCATATACACCACATACAACATACTTGCTCAAGACTCCAATTATTTCTCCCCTTCCTCCTTCCCTCCATAAACTACGGATTTCAAAAAACAGATGGAGTAATTCCTATAGAATTCAATCCATTGAAGTACAAACAGCAGAGATTAATGACCTTCTCAATTCCTCTTAGATACAAAGGAAGACACATTTGATGTTTACAACAATGACCTCCAATCTTTAAGAAATCATTTAGAAGAAACCTTCTAGGGAACATGTAGAGTAAAAAATAGGTAATACATTAAGGGAGTTGCTAAATGGCATTCTCCTCCCCTTCACAAGGCATTTTTTTTAATAACCTTGCAATTTCTATTCAATACTTTTGTCACTCCAAAACTACACACAGCCTTTAAAGAGGGGTCTTTGAGAGACAACTGATACCTTTGGTCAGTGTTTCCTCAGAAAAATTGTCTAGGTTGATCTTTTTATTTTATTTTTATTTTCCTTCTTCTCTAGACTCTCCTGCATTGGTCTATACCTCTTTTCCAGTCTACTTGTTAACTTGCTACAGTTTTGTCTTTTCCAAGTTTCACATCCTCCTAGCTACTGAAATCATAGGAACAAAATTATTAGTGTTAAAATTCCCACAACGGGAACCTTATTAAATGGCCTCTACAAATTGTCTTATCTAGATATTTACTGTAAAGAAATGTCTTAAAACTATTGTTACAAAATAAACTGCTCACATCAATTTAGCTAGGAAAGAATAATCAACTTACCTTCACTGCTGCACCTCTGTCCTCAAAATGAACAAAAGCATAATCCTTCAACTTCTTTACTCTTTCCAGCTTTCCAAATTCAGAAAAGGATTTCTCAAGAATTTCTTCTGTCACAGTAGTGGCCAAGTTTCTTACAAATAAAACTTTCACCTGGTGAAAAAATGAGACTGAAAGCTGTAATCTTTAAAAGTCAAACCTCAAAGGAAACTAACATAGACTAATAAGATGTTATTCCGTTCTTCTGTGCATTGAGAAATTTTGGGTAGCCTTATAAATTCTGTACCTGTTTCAAAAGAAAACAAAAAACCCCACACCAGAAAAACAAATCAACACAACAACAGAAGAACAAAAAGATAGCCTTGTTACCTGTATGAAGTTTCTACAACTTCTCTCCTTCCACAGTTCCCTTCCATGACCAGAAGAATATCCAACTTTGATTTTCTGCTTCTGGGATGCTACAAATCCCAGTAAAATTTTAGTAATAGACTACAAGAGCAGCAAAGAGTTATCCCAAACCACAGGGATAAAGAGCACATCATTCCCTATGCTGAATTTCACCTTCATCTCACTCTGGAAAATAGTTTTACAAAATACCCACCTAGTATTCATTATCAGCAAAAGCAGATAATGAATAGACTGATGTGCCAATCCAGCAGGATAACCCTGTATGCTACTAGTTTAAATGTGAACAGTTGGTTACAACTGCACATGCCTAGCATGTTACACAGGCAACTAATCTGCAGTGCTCAGGCCATGCCAGTTTGCATGGTTTACTACAAAAATGCCCTCTAGCTGCTTTTCATGCCTCAAAATTAGCATTGCTCAGCTGGAACAAATCATCGTCACTATGGCATAAAGAAATTCCTCCCAAAGCACAAGAGCATCCAGTTAAGTTTTTACTTACTTTTGCCATGACTTCTGGATCAGGTTCCTCTACAGGATCAGCCCATTCCACTGTCACAACGTTCCCCCAGACTTTTACTTTCCCACTCATCAGACGGCGGCGAGCTTGTGCTGCTGACTTGTGATCCTCATATTCCAAGAAGCAGAATCCTCGATTCTTCTTTTTATCATCAGGTTGATGATACAAAATCACATCCACCAAACCCTCTGAAAAACAGGTCTTTAGTATTAAGCTTCAAGAGGTAGAAAAAAAAAAGATAAATCTAAGAGTCTACTCTAAAATGCCTTCACTTGTTTTTTGTAATACACAGCCTTTGAATTTAACACGTGAAAGGGGGAGCACAAGAAAGGCAAAACAAATAACAGATACCCATCCAATTTATGCAGAAACAGGTCACCTAGCAGATTAAATTCTCCAGAACAAACTTACCTCACAATTAGGCCCTGCAAAACATCAACCTGAGCAGTTCACACAGTGTAAGTTTTCTCTATTTTATTTTACCATTTTTATATCTTTGAAAAGCAGTCAGCATTAATACATGGCATCTCCCCTGCCTCCAGGAGAAGTTGGAAAGAATTTCTTCCACATCTCTCCAAAAAGAGGAGAGATAACTAAATGAATATTCACCTTCTGTTTTCATCAATTCCCTGAAGTACTTATAAATAGCAATCCTAAAAAAGAAGCAGTAGGTTAAAACTCTCCTACAGGAACAAAAGCAGGCGATCAAGACTTCAATCTCTTATTTAAAGCAGAAGCATCCATCCACTAATGAGCTGACTTCTTTTCTTCCTTCCTACTCACTGCATAGACTGGGGCACAACACTGAAGAAATGGGACAGAAATTCATCTGTCATTAACTATTTCTACAATAACATTCCCTCTAAACTGATTTAGTATTCCCCTCTTCCCCCTCATCCCTCAATAATACATTTGTCTGAGGCTCCCCAAAAACTTCTTAGTTGTGAAAGCAGAATCTACTGTAGATCCAATTACAAACACAGCCTTCAACATGAAGCTAGAACAGGTAACAGAATTAGAACCTTCACTTTTTTTTTTTTCCCCCTGAGTTCATTTGTGCTGTTTCCATTTCAAATTGCAAACCTACAACATCATTCATTTAACAATAGGTAAAACAGACACTAGTCCCTTTACACTCCACCATAAAACATATTTGATATGTAGAAATTTCTACCAGAAACAAACTTGGAAGTCAACTTGGAAATTGTTTAAATGATAGCTGAATGCATCTGTCAAATAACTAGACCTACAAAACAGCAAGACTGAATGGTATTTTGGGACCAGTGTGACAAACTTGTTAAGAAGGTCTTACCTGTGACTTTACTGAATTCTTCCAATATGTTTTCCTTGGTCTTGTTCTTTGGAATTGACCCAACAAACAACCTGTTGTTTGCCACAGAGATGCATACTCCAAGGTGCTTCCCAGGACGGATTTCATAGTTGTCACACTGAGAAAATAAAAAGCCATTCATTTGCTTTATCCACAATAATATGGATAAAAAGATCCCCAAAATCATAAAATCAGCTATTTTCTTAATGATCTACTTTTTTTTTTTTATATATAGCATAATGAATTCACATTGCAAGAGAATTACTAGAACTGCAATATTTGAGTCAGCATTCACTTGGAAGAACATTGCCAAGTTTAGGTTTTCCACAGAAACTTCAGAAGTTCTGCTGAGTGGAAAGCTACAAAGAAACTGATGTACAAGGAACAACACATAACAGATACAAATTGCATGGGGTAAATTAATTCACCTACTGTTTATCTCAAACTTGAAAGATCTTCCTAGACACTGGTCACTGCTTTCTGTGCTGGGACTCAATGTCAGTCATTGCTGCTGTTATTAATAAGCAAATACATAGCATTATAGATACTATGAGTTCTTCTACTTTACTTTGATAGCTCTTAAACACTGAGCATATTTGCAATGAGATACTCAAAAGTCTAAATCAGTGTGTGACCTTGTTACCCCCACAGGAGGGATTTTTTGGAACTTGTAAAATGCTAGGACTCTATAAATTTTGCTGTTAAGTTCTAAAACTTCCCATTAAAAACAATTTAGCCCACTGCTTCATGTTTGTACCCACAGTTGGATTACTCTGAACACCAACACCCCGACAGGTCTTTAAAGGTACAGGCGTTTAACCTTTTAAAAAAAAAAAAAGTAATTCAAGATAGACATCATCTTTGTTTTAGGTAGGATTTTCAAACACAACCTAAGAGGATGGATGTTTGATCATCATCCAGCTTCTGAAAATCTCATCCAATTCTTTAAAAGCAAGTTTTCAGCTATTTTTACTTTAGCTGAGACACAGTCACAGAGATGACAGAGCAATACCTTCAGTAACCTTCCTCATATTCAAGAACTAGAACAATGTTAAGGTACCACAGGCTATCAAACAAGAGCACTTTCAGGAAGGCAAAAACTTTTCAGAATTTTGCTTCACTTACAACAGCAATACATAACACAATAAAACTTTGTGTTCCAGTGCCATAAACTTAAGATATAATTTGAAAAGCAGATTCAGATTCTTTTACAAAGCCTTTTTACCTACAATCAATCCCATTCCCACCGGTACCTGCAAACACAAGCAGAAAGCTCACCCAGTGTAGAGAAACCAAAACTTCAACATTTCAAGTTTATTTTCTGAAAGAACCTCACTTTGCTATCAAAGTTTAATTATCTCCGAAATTTAGCATGTGTTTGCCCTATTTTCCTTTCACCCACTAGTCTGTGGAAAATATTTCACTAAATACAAGCCTGGCCGCATTACCGGATAAAGGTAGGGTGGAGGAGGTAGGAGGAAGGGAGTCTAGATACAGGACTTAGGTGAATTTGTGTGCATATACTCCTTATTTGGTGCAATATCCAGGGTATGGAGGCCAGTCTTCCACCAGTGGCACATCACTAGCTACATCTCCTGTCACATCAGCATCTTCCCTCTCCCTCAGTCAGTAAAAATTTAAAGTAACAACTCTGAGCACCTTCAACTTGGTCAAAAAAAGAAAAAAGTTTCAAAACAATTTTTCTTTTGTAAGTGACAGCAACTCATATCCACCATCTTCAAACACTGAAACCCAGAAGCAATCAAATGCAAAAACATGTTTTGTGCATCTCCTTCAGGAAACATCCAAGTAGGTTCTAGAAAGGAAAAACACCCTAAGCACGGACATGCAATTCCCAGCCCTGGAAGACCCTAACATAGCAACTGCAACTATTTCTAAACACATGAAAATATTTGAGGGAACAAACACTGGAACATTTAGAGGCAAGGACTCCTTCTGAAGCCTTTACAATGCAACAGAATCATTTCTTAAGTTTCTCTAGGTTTCATTTTTCTTTCCCCACCATACCGCCCCCCCCAGCTTAACTCTGTGTTTAGGTTTTCCTTCCCTTCTTCATATAGGATGAGCTGAATTCTGCTAAAGCAAATGAGATAAAGCATTTCCACCTGTTTTGGTTCAAAGTACAAGCCGTATTTCAGAGTCATATCCAAAACCTTGGGAGATACACATTGATCTACCTAATTCTACTTCATCTTCTTAGGCAGAGGCAAGGTCAAATGAACCAAGGCCCCAGTCAGACTGCTGTCTCTCATTTCAACTCTCTAGGGATCACTCTGTGTCCTTTGCCAAACATCTAGATGCAGGTCAAGTCAAGCTTCCATGTAGTGAGCTGACTATGTGACTGCCATTGGAAAGAACTAAAGGCCACCATGAACCATAAACAGCACCAAGTCAGAGACATCCTCCACAGTTGCAGCAGCAAAACAAAAGTATATCTCATTAGCTCTTTAGAGTAGGAAGGGTGATAAAACTGAAACACAGTGAAGCTTAAAGAATGTATTTTCCAGTTGTCATCAAGTAAACATTCACTATAATCACCCAAGTACTCTAGCAGACTGCAGCAGACTATAGGTGACCATGGTCCTAAAAGAAGAACATTTGTATATACTAAATCAAATCAGGAGGCAATTTTTAAGAAGTAAAAATTTGAGTCTGTCAATAGATGCTTTAATGAAAAACTTCAAAGACTTCATTATCTAAGAGATTATCAACATGCTTGCTGTTTACATTATCTTGTCCAGTCTGAAAATAAGTTACTCACCAGTTTGACTGCTTCCTGTGCTGCATCTTTACTACAAAAGGTAATGAAAGCGTAACCTCTGTTCTGACCAGAAAGAGGATCCATCATGAGACGCAGATCCCAAATTGGACCAGCTTTTTCAAAAAGTGGTACCAATTCATCTTCATACAAGTCTCGGGGAATCTTACCAACAAAAACCTAAAAAGGAAGAGGACACTTAAACATAGCTTTTTCAGAAATCCAAACTTACTTTTAATACTTGAAAGTTCCTGGGAAAGGAAGTACATTGCAGCATAAACCACCACAGCAGAAACACTATAGCCACCACTGCAGCCTTCACTGTGACCAACATTAGCTGTCCTACAAAGTCTTCTAAGCATCCCGCTGTTAGTACTACATTTTACATATGGAAAACCCGATTTTGTTATTTATATTGAGGAGGTTGTAAATTTACACCACTAAAGAGGTAAATGGTTCTTACCTGGTTATAATTTTGGCAATTAAAAACAAAGACCTTAAGGCTATCTAGTTGGGTATCCTATACTAATGCAGGTCAAGCACTTCCTTGCTCTTGCAGTATTTTCAAATCATTCTGTAGGCCAGAACTTTCATTAGAAAGTTAGAGAGATGGAAAAAAAGAACCCTACAAAAATCCATTGCCTGATGCACATTTTCCACTTTTAACATATACGCTAACATTATTTCTAGTCTTTATGTTTCAGCTTCCATCAACCGAATGTTTTAATAAAATCTGGAGTCCTCATGTTTTTGTTCCTTTCATTGAGTGACGTCAATAAACTTTGGTAAGGTTTTGTCAAGGAGTTTAATCTCTTCAACTGTCTCCCTAGAAAGCTCTTCCTCGCCTCCCAAATTGTTCAATCACTGCAGCTCTCCTCTGAATTGTCAAAAACTCTGAATTGCTAATACAAGCAAAACATTCCATTGCTGCTAATACAAGCAAAACACCCATTAAGATCAACTTCTATTTATTTTAACTTCAAATATTTTTTGTGGTAATAAAAGCTAGGAGTCGTCAACCTTTCCCATCTTGGCAAGGCCTTGCCATAGTTTTATCTGGTACTGAAAGTTTAGTTGATAATTCCAAAACTAAAGACATTCAGAATACCCATGGAAGCACTGATATGAACAAACCCCTGACGAGAACGTGATGACTCCGATTTTAAAAAAAATGTGGAACGCAAATTATTTTCCTCCAAAGGAGAGCTAGAACTTTCAGATGTATGTTTATGTTATACAGATATTCCTGAAATTCAGTTTCCAGAACATTTTTTTCACTTCGCTTAGCCTCTCTCAGTTCAGCGTGAGTGCCAAATGACCATGATTTATTTCCTATTGGGGAAAAAAAGGAACAGGTTTATCATACTAAGTGAAAAATCTAATGGCAGAGCCAACAGGATTCACTCCCACAAAAAGCTTAGAAATCCACACAGATAGGTATTTCCATTGTCATTACCTAGCACATTAAAAACTATGCATGAGTTTTGGAATGAAAAGTCAAAAAACTGCTACTATCATGGAAATGCACAAGACAGGAACTCCAACTTGCTACTACGATAATGTGAAACTGCCAACTGAACTCTCCACAAACTGCAACTGTTTTTAAGTCAGTCAAATATAAAAAGTCTACATTAAATTCTTTGTTTCAGATGCCACCATTTCCAGCAGAAAATGAAGGTGACACATCAGAAAAAGACTTGGGAAAGAAAAAAAAAAAAAAGGAAAAAACCCTACTCCAAATACAAAGTCTACTTTTCCAGCTATTTACCAAAGAATCTGAAAGCTTCCGTTTCCTCCTTTCCTTCCAGTCTCTTCAGCTCACTCTCTAGAAACTTTAGACCACGAACAATCCCACAAGACTGCTACTACAGTTCAGTTAATACACTCTAGGAGCTAGTATGAGAAACAGAATTAAGTATTTGATTTGAATACATTCATACCTGACTCTAGAATATATTCTAGAGTAACTTCCACTTAGGAGAACTAGATAACTCTGTGGGAGTAATTCACATCTAAGTAAATTTGCTCTGAGCCTGTAAACTTAATGTGTTAATGAACTACAAGATCAATACTAGACATGACAAACACCAGATGAACATCTTGCAAGGGTCAGAACAAACATCTGCGATACCTTTTTTTTAGGTATGTTGATAAAGCTTGAATAAAGTTGCTGAAATACCAAAAAAAGCAAGTATCAGATGTGTTGTTTCATTTTTAGTTCCACAACAACAGGACTTTGGAAGAAGTTCGGAAACTGGCATTATCAGTGAAACAATAAAAGAGATCTTGTCTAAGTGGGATGCAACTGCATCACTTCTGGGCCTGTGTTGGAATCACTGATCATTACACTTCTTCCAGTTTCACTTCCTAAAGGACCTGTACAAAGTACTACATTTTACTTCCTTATTAGTGTTTTAGAAGATTAATAATAAGAAAGTCTTATTATTAAAGTCTTTAACTAGGAAAAAAATCAATTTCAGTTTCCTGAACAACTTTACAGAGCATTACTACTGAGGGGTGCAATCCACTTCTGCACTCTGATGCATCCTTCAGTTCTTTCAACAACTGGGCCTCCTCCGTTGTCATCGCAAGCTAACAGAAGTGTATGGCAGCACTGCAAGAGCTTCTTCAAAGCCTCTCTCCTTTTAATAGTGTTCTTCATGTGCTTTGCAGTCAATTTTTCCTAAATGCCAGATTTGAGTGCTAATTAATGTAGGGTGCATGACTGCTTCATCTCATCCAAATCTACAATCTTCACTAAAAAAGGTGAAAGTGGAAACAAATTCTAGTACAGTGCAAAAGCCTTTGAATCCCCACGGTTCTTCCAGTACAAAAGTGACATTCCATTTGCGTACTAAATACAGCATAAGTTTTGTCTAGTTTAAATCCTGCTGAGTTTATTATACCATTGATTCTTACGTTAGTTATTACAGTATCTGATTCTTCCCATTCAATTTATTATGGGCAAAAGTAGTTTAAATTGCCTCATCATCTCCAGTAACATAACATTCTCCAGACTGCAAGTTAGCCTCACAACCCTTTTCTGACTTTTTCTTAGAAATTCTGACCATGCATGCACAGAGCAGATGTAATACCAACTTATCATTCACTGAGCTAAAAGTAATTTTGCAATTTTAATAACAACATTCAAAGATTGTGTTTATCATATACAACAAATTTCAACTCTGAAAAGGACATGTAGCAATTTCTTCATTTTATACAGTCTAAATATAGATATCAAACCTTGCACATTATCTTAGCATATTATGGGCAAATAATCTATTTACAGAATTTTCAAGTTTTTATTTCAGATCACTGAAAAACAGTGAAATAGAAGCCTCTCAAAACTTTAGGAGTAGAACTTACTTTATCTGGACACCTCTCAAAAAAACTGAAACCAATCCAGCAATCAGTACGACTTAAGTCAATTACTCTCTTGATGGTAGCTGCACTGTACTAATTTTGAAAAGTGCTTTCTTCCTATCCCTATTATAGTGGGGTAAAGGGCTGGTATTTTACAATTACAAATGAAGCCCCCTGTTCTTCAAATCATGTCTTAAATGGTATTGTATTATTTACACCAAAAGGTGAAGGGTGAAAAATCAAGTACCACATCAGTTATCTCCTTAATTTTTGGTGTTACATCGTCTAGACAGGTCATGTGCAGGTCAGGTTTTTTTACCCTGTAATAATAATATTAGTAATAATAATAATAATAAA